ATGCCTCTTCACATTCAGCATCAAAGATGAAATCTACTTCTTTACACAACAGCCTTGTCAAGGGTCTGGCTATTCTTGAGAAGTCTTTGATAAATCTTATGTAAAACCCTGCATGCCCAAGGAAACTCCTTATTCCTTTGACTGAAGTGGGAGTTTGCAGATTCACCATCACTTCCACCTTTGCTCTGTCAACCTCTATGCCCTTCTCAGATATCTTGTGCCCAAGAACTATTCCTTCCTGCACCATGAAGTGGCATTTCTCCCAGTTCAACACCAAGTTATGCTGCTCACATCTCTCCAAGACCTGTGACAAATTAGAGAGACAATCTGAGAAGGAGGAGCCATAGACACTAAAATCATCCATGAACACCTCCACCTTCTCTTCAATAATGTCAAAGAATATATGCATCATGCATCGTTGAAATGAGGCAGGGGCATTACAGAGACCAAAAGGCATTCGCCTGTATGCAAATGTGCCATAAGGGCATGTGAATGTTGTTTTCTCTTGATGTCGGGAATCTATGGGAATTCGGAAGAACCCCGAGTACCCATCGAGAAAACAAAAGAAGGGGGTGTTTGCAAGCCTCTCTAACATCTGATCAATGAAAGGCAAACGAAAATGATCCTTTCTAGAGGCTACATTGAGCTTTCTATAGTCTATACACATTCTGTGTCTTGTGACAGTCCTAGTAGCTATCAGCTCATCCTTCTCGTTTTTAACCACTGTGATCCCACCCTTCTTGGGCACAACAGGAGACACCCATCTTGAGTCAGAGATTGGGTAAATTATCCCTGCCTCAAGAAGTTTTAGTATCTCCTTCTTAACCACTTCCTTAAGGTTGGGGTTAAGACGTCGTTGATGCTCAATAGAGGACATAGCTTGGTCCTCTAGGTGAATCCTGTGGGTGCAAATGTCAGGAGATATCCCTCTAATATCAGCCAAAGAATATCCTATGGCTCTCCTGAACTTCCTTATCTCACTAAGCAATGCACTCTCTTGATAATCTAATAAGTTATCATTGATGATTACTGGATATGTGGAGTTTAAGCCCAAGAAAGCATACTTGAGCCTTGTTGGTAGAGGCTTGAGCTCAACAGGGGGAACACCAGCCTCATTCCAATCCTGGTCCAAGCTGCTTTGGCTGGTGTCTGATCCTTTGATAACAAAAACCTCAGAGCCAATTTGTTCCAGTTCCAAAAACCTTGTCTCAAGACCCAGCTCTCTAGCATTGTCCAAATACAACTTGTACCCCTCACTTGCTTCTGCTAAGAGCCCACTGTCTCCTTGTTCTTGAGTTAGAGCAGCTTGAAGAGGATCCCCAGTGTTCAGCTCCTCAAGCAACTCACCAGCCAGATGATTCATTGTCTCCACATAGAAACAATAACCTTCAATGGTGGGTTTCTTCATCATCTCATTCACATCAAACTTGAGCTTTTCAGACCCAAGTTTCTATTATCCCACCTCTCACATCAATTATGGCTCCTGCAGTGGCTAAGAATGGCCTGCCCAAGATAAGAGGATCAACTAGTTCCTCATCCATCTCCAGCACAACAAAATCTGTTGGAACCTCAAAACCACCTATCTTAACAGGTAAATCTTCCAACATACCAACAGGCAATCTAACTGATCTATCTGCAAGGATAAGAGAGATCCTTGCAGGTTTGAAGACCCTAAAACTGATATGTCTATATTTTACATCATTTAGATTGCATTATAGAGTCCTCATCATGTGTTTTCTCATGTAAATTGAGTCTTTAGGCGTTAAAATAGAACTTAGGGCTTGCATTAGGTCCCAAAGAGTTTTGCATGTTTTGAAGTCTTTATCAGGAGCTTTGGAGACCAATTGGAGCCTAAGAAGAGGAACAGAAAAGAAAACGGTGAAGAAAAGGGTCAAAAATGGTGAAAACCGCTTGGAGGAATTTCTCGGCCAAATCTCGTACCGGCTGATCGGAAACCTCGGCCAAAATGTTTACTGGACGCTCATTACGGGCCAAAAACCTTACCGATCGGCCAGAATCGAGTATCGAGTGCAAAAATACCACGGGACAATTTTTGACCGAGGCAAGAATTTTTACGACCAAAAAGCTTACCGCGGTACACAGCCCTCGGCCATTTTTCTTACCGCGGGAAGGTTTTCACGACCAAAAGTTATCCTTGCCCGCGCAATTCAGGGATCAGCAATCCGGGGAACTTTCCGGTCCGAATCAGTAGGCGGGGGTCTTCACCAAAGTTGGAGATAATCAAGCAAAGATTCCAGAATAGTTGGAATCATCCAATTCGGACCAGTGGAGAGAAAGATATGGCTTCCGGAGCATTCACCAGCATTGCGCATACCCGAGAACTGAACGGCGAACTTCAAACATCATGGCGGACGGAGCCCCTCCAGACCGAACCAGCTTACCCGGTCTTCGCCAAAGTTCGAGATCCATGGAAGAACTTCTCAGAGCATTTGGAATCGCTCAATTCGGAGCAAAGGTTTGGAAGATAGGGTCTCCGGAGTTCACATCGGTCTAAAAGTCTATTTTCCGGTGATTTCAATGCGGCGCAGAGATGTTAAATCCAGGAAGCCGTCCACTCCCCAAGCTCCGATGGTTTCTTCACCAAAAGTTGAGCTTATTGAGTCATCTTGACTCTGGAACATGTCCCAGAGCAATTGGAGTCGTGTGCTGAAAGTTACTGCTTCCGGAAGGTGACATGGTCGATACAAGTCTAAAAGAGTTGCGATACGCGCTAAGTATTTTCACAAGCCTCCGTATCTTTACCTTGGCGTCACTCAAGTCGAGGCTCATATCTTGGAAGTATTCTGGACTAGACCTCGTGCCAAAGCCTTGGCATGGTTAGATCGAGGCATGCATACATAAGAACTGAAGCTGGAAACGACTAAGTGTTGAAAGTACACCTCGGTGTAATGACCTCGGCGTGCATGCCAGACTGTGTTCTCCCAAGCACCTCGACATCATGACCCCTCGACATTTTATCCCGAGGTCCCTTGTCACGAACCCAGAATCAAGAACAGAATGGCTCAAGAACATACACGTGAGGATAGATCAAAGACTAGGGTTCATGCATGTTCTTGATGTGTTCTTCACGAGATCTTCATCTGGATCCTGACTCACATGCACGCCTCGGCATGAAGACCTCGGCTTCACTTTCCGACACACCGTGGCACTCACCCATCAACCCAAGAAGGCGGTTCAGTACCCGGTTTGTTCCGGGCTGACCCACGACACTTTCCCTTTGCTATAAATACATTTTGAGACTAAAAACCTAGTTATCTTATCTCTTATCTGTTTTTAGCTCTAAAAACTTGCCTCTTTTGTGAAACTTGATTAATCTAATCCGATATCTCGTTTTTGCATCAGAATCTTGTTCTTTCTTTATTTCTTTTATCATCCAACATCAAACTCCTTATCATGACTAGCTACACGTCTTGCAAAGGACTTAGTGAGCTCGTTATGATCAGTGAGTAGTCGTTTAAGCGGCTTTAGATAGGTAGATTAGGGTGCTTTCAAGGTGGATTAATGGGTTTAGGTGTCTAGTCTTGCATGTTTCATTCCTTAACCGACGAGATCTCTAAGCTGGATCCAAGCACATCACTTGAGGTTCAGATCTGAGACATATCTCGCATCAGAAGTGTTTGTAGAAATGTCTGAACCACTCGGTTAAGGGTTTAAGAGTCTTTCATCGCGAGAGTGATAGTTTGTTCTCTTAAATGACGTTTTTGAACCGATTCTTATTGCTGACTGATTTGTGCTTCTCAAAAGGGATTTTGGTATGAAAGAGGATCAGTTTAGACGTTTAATACTTTCATGAGAAGATTAACGTGCCTTGAGTTCAAAGTCAAATGAAATCGCTTGATAAAATGATTCATTAGCCCCTTAGTCTAACTTGGAAGCACCCGAGTCAAATATCCTGTCTAAAGCTTCTGCCTTTATCATTCATTACCATCATCTGAATCACTTGTTTGTTATTTGCATCTTGATTAGTTTAAATCTCTGCTTTTATTTAACTTTATTGCTCATTTGCCTGTTAATCATTGTCACCAAACTTTTATCATCTTGTCTTGACTTAAGTGAACAAATGACATAGGCTAGTGTCTCGTTTACAAGCTTGGTTTGATACCCCTTATACTACTTTGACAAGGGGATTGATAACCCTTCTAAGAGCCTGAAAACTCTTAGTTATCAATTGGCGCCGTTGCCAACTTGTAGGAGCATTAGTCTCTTGTTTGTTCTTGAGTTCAAGCTTTTCTTTCCTTTGTTTTACTAACTTCTTTCCAAGTTCTTGTTTTGTTTTCAGGTGCATGAATACCAGGTCTTGCACAGGATCGCTTTTCCCATACGATGATAACATCGACATATTAGAAAGGCGAGCTCGCGAGAGAGAACGGCACTTTGACAGACTTGGAATGGCAGAACAACAGAGAATGGAGCAACAGGCTCAGGCAGCCGAGCACCAGGCTCAGGCTAATCAGGCGCAGGCAGGAAGAAATGAACAACAAGCCTATGTTAATCAGCAACAGGCTCAAAGAAACGAACGGCTTGCTCAGCAAAACCAACACCAAGCGAATAGAAATGAACAACAAGCCCATCATGTTCATCCGCCACCGCCCCAAGTTCAGGGACAACATCCTCCAATCTGTGTTGGAGAGAATGACCGAGCTAATGCGCACCAATACCGAGCTGGGATTCAAGCTCTACCAGTTCAAAACAACAACTTTGAAGTTAAAACTTCCCTGCTCAATATGGTGCAAAACTCAAAGTTCCATGGTCTGGCTGGAGAAGACCCTCTCGAGCATCTAGATCAATTTGATCGGGTTTGCGACTTAACCAAGATAAATGGCGTCTCCAAAGATAGCGTCAAGCTACGCTTATTCCCTTTCAGCCTCGGTGATAAAGCACACCAGTGGGAAAAGAATATACCGAGGGGTTCTATACAAACCTGGGAGCAGTGTAAATTGGCGTTCTTATCAAAGTTCTTTTCCACATCACGCACGGCTAAGCTCGGGAATCAGATCTCAAGTTTCACGCAGCACAATAACGAGAGCTTCAGTGAAGCTTGGGAACGGTTTAGAAGCTACACTAACCAATGCCCACACCACGGCTTCTCAGAGGCATCCCTCTTGAGTACTTTATACCGAGGTGCACTCCCCAAGATCAGAAACCAACTCGATACAGCTTCAAATGGGAATTTTCTTGGAAAAGAGATCACTGCGGCAATGGAACTAGTTGAGAACCTAGCCATGTCCAATGACACGTATGGAGAGGACTTTGATAGAGCAAACCGTACAGAGGGATCTAGTGATGAACAGCGCATGAAAAAGGATATAAGAGAGCTTCAGAGTAAGCCTGACAAGGTTTTGATGGCGACTCAAAAGCCAATACACTTTGTAGGCGAGTTTGATGAGCAAGGGCCAAGTTTGACAATGTTAATGAAGATGGTCTAACACAAGAGGAGCTGAATTACATCGGGAATCAGCAGAGGTATCAGCGGTTTAACAACTACAACAGTAACCCAAACCTCTCATACAGAAACCCGAATGTAGCTAACCCTCAAGACCAAGTGTACCCTGCTCAACAACAACAACAAAGCTATGCTCAAAAGGCTCCTTTTCAGAATACCTTCCAGCCCAAGCAACAGTTCAGTGGGCAACAGCACGACTACACTCAGCAGAATCAAGCGGCTCAGAGTAACAACTTCAACAACCAACCGCAGCAACACAAGTTTCCACCAGGGTTCCATCCGCAGCCGATGGGTAATCAACAACAGATTCAGGGAACGGGTCAGAATCAAATGGGGAACGACGTCTGTGGGATACTACAGCAACTGTTACAGGGCCAGCAAAGGGTTGAGAGCCAGCACGCGACAATGCAGCAAGATATCAGAGAGCTTAAGCAGAATCAAGCTTCTACATCATCAAGAGGCCCGGCTTTACCAGGTAAACCGGAGCCGAACCCTAAAGAGTATGTGAACGCCATCACATTGAGGAGTGGTAAGGAATTACAAACTCCAACGCCTGAGACAAAGCTCATTGAGGCCAATGAGCAACTAGAGGGGGAGGCAGCCTCGGATGATGCGCATAAAGAAGAGGTCTTAGAGAAGGAACCGATCAAGGACAACGGAAAAGAGGTGGAAAAGACAACCGAGCTTGAAAAGCCCTATGTTCCACCACCACCTTATCAACCCAAGATACCGTTCCCAGGGCGTTTCAAAAAGAAAATCCTAGACAAGGCCAAGGCGGTCTTTGAGAAACACTTGGAGAACACGCAACTCACCTTACCCATTATAGATGCTTTCTTAGCTATACCCCAGCTTGGGAAGTTTCTAAAGGACGCGATCCTCAACAAGACAAAGGAGCTCCAGGGTATGGTGATACTGAGCCATGAGTGCAGTGCCATAATACAAAGAAGATCAATACCAAGGAAGCTATCCGATCCGGGCAGCTTCACTTTGCCGTGTGCTTTAGGTCACCTGAAGTTCTCAAACTGTTTATGTGACCTTGGAGCTTCTGTGAGCTTAATGCCTTACACGGTGGCCAAGAGATTGGGATACAAAAGCTACAAGCCAGCCAAGATCTCTCTTGTATTAGCTGATAGATCGGTTAGATTACCGGTGGGGTTGCTTGAGGATCTACCTTTGAGGATCGGTGAGATAGAAATCCCCACGGACTTCATAGTTCTTGAGATGGACGAGGAACCATTAGACCCTATCATCTTGGGCCGACCATTCTTAGCAACCGCAGGAGCCATACTAGATGTCAGAGGAGGAATGATTGAACTACACATCGGTTCCGAGACTATGAAGTTCAACGTGAAGGAAATGATGAAGAAACCGACCATTGGAGGTCAGGCTTTCTATGTGGAGGTAATGGAGGAGCTGGCTGATGAGCTCCCTGAAGAGTTGAACGCAGAGGATCCGTTACAAGTGGTCTTAACGCGGGAACAAAGCGAGCACGGGTACTAGAACGAGGAAAGCGAGGTGTACAAGCGTCTTTTGGACAAACCGAGGGAACTTGGAGCTGAGGCGAGGTTTTTGGAGCTCCACACGAGCAGCCTCGACATTCTAGAAAGCGAGGAGTCAAAGGGAAAAGAAGAGACACCTCGGGATATCATGGCCGTGACAACTCATACCGAGGCCGATGGTAAACCATGCGAGAATGAAGCAAAGGCCGAGGAAGCTGTTCCGGGCCAATGCAGCTTTGATGCCGATTGGAATGAGGCAGACGCACCCCCTGTTGAGCTTAAGCCTCTACCAACAGGGCTCAGGTATGCGTTCTTGGGTCTAAACTCTACTTTTCCTGTGATCATAAACGATAACTTGCTTGAGCATGAGGAACGTGCATTACTTAGTGAAATAAGGAAATTCAGGAGAGCCATAGGGTATTCCTTGGCTGATATTAGAGGGATCTCTCCTGATATATGCACCCATAGGATCCACCTGGAGGACCAAGCCATGTCCTCTATTGAGCACCAACGTCGACTTAACCCGAACCTCAAAGAGGTGGTTAAGAAGGAAATACTAAAGCTCCTTGAGGCAGGGATAATATATCCAATCTTTGACTCTCGGTGGGTATCTCCTGTACACGTTGTGCCCAAGAAAGGTGGGATCACGGTGGTGAAAAACGATAAGGATGAACTCATAGCCCAAAGAACTATAACCGGCCATCGCATGTGCATTGACTATAGGAAATTGAATTCTGCATCAAGAAAAGATCATTTTCCTTTACTATTCATTGATCAAGTGCTTGAACGGTTAGCTAATCATCCTTATTTTTGTTTTCTCGATGGATACTCGGGGTTCTTTCAAATACCTATAGACCCCCGAGATCAAGAGAAAACGACATTCACCTGCCCTTATGGCACTTATGCTTATAGAAGAATGCCATTCGGTTTGTGTAATGCACCGGCCACTTTTCAAAGATGTATGATGCACATTTTCTCTGATCTAATTGAAGAGAAAGTTGAGGTGTTTATGGATGACTTCTCCGTATACGGCTCCTCTTTCTCCGAATGTCTTGCTAATCTTTCTCAGGTTCTCAAGCGGTGTGAGGAGCATAGGCTTGTATTAACCTGGGAAAAGTGTCATTTCATGGTCCAAGAAGGCATTGTCTTGGGACACAAGGTATCAGAGAAAGGCATCGAGGTGGATAAGGCCAAGATCGAGGTGATGGTGAACTTACAAGCCTCGAATTCTGTGAAAGGAATAAGAAGCTTCCTTGGCCACGCTAGGTTCTATAGACGGTTCATCAAGGATTTCTCCAAGATAGCCAGGCCTTTGACCAGGTTATTGTGCAAAGAAGTGGATTTCAACTTTGATGAAGAATGTGAGGAAGCGTTCAAGAGAATCAAGGAGGCTTTGATCAGTGCACCGATTGTACAAGCCCCTGATTGGTCTTTACCATTTGAAGTGATGACCGATCCATCTGATTATGCTGTAGGAGCTGTCTTGGGACAGAAGAAAGATAAGAAGCTCCATGTGATCTACTATGCCAGCCGCACTTTGGACTCGGCTCAAGAAAAGTATGCCACCACCGAGAAGGAAATGCTTGCCATTGTGTTTGCATTTGACAAATTCAGGAGTTATCTAGTGGGATCAAAGGTCACGGTTTACACAGATCACGCGGCCTTGAGGTACCTGATGTCTAAGAAGGACGCTAAGCCGAGGCTTTTGAGATGGGTCTTTTTGCTCCAAGAATTTGACATGGAGATACTTGATAAGAAGGGCATTGAAAACGGAGCCGCAGATCACCTCTCAAGGCTGAGGATTGAAGAACAGGTCCCTATAGATGATGCTTTACCCGAGGAACATCTCATGTTAGTCCGGTCTTACTTAGAGGTGGAGGAAGCCAATACGATCAAGGAAAGAAGCCTTCCATGGTTCGCGGATCTTGTGAACTACTTGTCTTGCGGATTAGAGCCACCAGATCTTGATACTTATCAGAGGAAGAAGTTCTTTAGAGATGTGATGAGGTATCATTGGGATGAGCCGTATCTTTACGTGCTTAACTAGGACCATCTCTATAGGCGATGCTGGGCCGAAGAAGAGATCCATCCAGTGCTACAAGAATGCCACGGCTCATCGTATGGTGGTCATTTAGGTGCGTTCAAGACAGTTGCCAAGGTTGTACAGAGCGGTTTCTGGTGGCCGACCATGTTCAAAGACGCCCAGGAAGTGGTCTCGAGGTGTGAAGCTTGTCAAAGGCACGGAAACATATCCAAAAGGAATGAAATGCCCCAAAACCCAATCTTTGAAGTAGAAGTCTTCGACTGTTGGGGCATTGACTTCATGGGTCCCTTTGTAAGCATATATGGGAATCAATATATCCTTGTAGCAGTGGATTATGTGAGTAAATGGGTTGAAGCGGTTGCATCTCCGACCAACGATTCAAAAGTGGTGGTAAAACTCTTCAAGAGTATCATCTTCCCACGGTTTGGAGTACCAAGAGTAGTCATCAGTGATGGGGGAAGCCATTTCATCAACAAGACTCTTGAGAGTCTTTTGAAGAAGCACGGAGTAAAGCACAAGGTGGCCACCCCTTATCATCCGCAAACCAGCGACCAAGTGGAAGTTTCCAACCGTCAGATAAAGGCCATTTTGGAAAGGACCGTGAACTCATCCAGGAAGGATTGGAGCAAGAAACTTGACGATGCTCTGTGGGCTTACAGAACCGCCTACAAAACCCCCATTGGAACCTCACCGTTTAACTTGCTTTATGGGAAGAGCTGTCATCTACCGGTTGAGTTGGAATACAAACCCTTGTGGGCAGTGAAACTTCTGAACATTGACATCAAGACCGCACAAGAAAAGAGGGTTTTACACCTTCATGAGCTTGAGGAGATCCGGTTAGATGCTTTCGAGAGCTCTAAGATCTACAAAGAAAGAACCAAGGCGCTCCATGACAAGAAGATAAACAAGAGAGAGTTCAAAGAAGGGGACCAAGTTCTGTTGTTTAACTCAAGACTCAAGCTGTTCCCTGGGAAGCTGAGGTCTAGGTGGTCCAGTCCGTTCACGATTCTTGAAGTAAGACCCTATGGAGCCGTGGTTTTGAAAGGAAAAGATGGACAAGGCTTTGTGGTAAACGGCCAGAGGGTAAAGCATTACTTGGC